CAACTTTGAACCATTCTTTCCACTGTCTTCAGAGGCAGGAGCTTGATTGGAGGCAAAGAAACAAAGCAGTTTGAAAAGAAAAAAAAAAAATAAGAGAAAAGTGATAAAATGTAGCATTAGTCATGTGTGTAGAATAGCATTTCTTGGAATTTGAGTGATTTTTGTGTTCAGATAGAAATCTGTCAGCGTTCTGCTCATTGCTTCGTGGTTCTGCTTTGGAAATTCTTGAATTCAGTGGAGATAGCCAAAAGCTAACCACTGCAGAAGCATTAACCTGAGAGCAGCTGACTCCAAGGGAAGTAAAACTGGTTGAGAAGGACTTATTCAAGATGTTCAAGAAATGTAGACTTTCTCTCTGGTTTTGCCAGGGACTTTCTGAATGATTTTTGGTGTGTATTTAATTGCAGGGTTAAGATTAATCGTGCTATGACCTGAACCACAGCAGTTCAGTCCGAGGTTTCATTTCTCTGGAACAGCCTTGAAAAATGGCTCATCCAAAGTGCAGTTTTTCTCCCAAGGATTTATATCTTCTTCCTGACTTGCTTATACTTATAGGCAATAGAAAGGGAAAGGTGGTTTTGAAAACACCTGAATTTGGAAACAAGTAATTATGGCGTTGTGATGAGCTTCCTGTGCTGTTCTGAGATCCAGACTTGCAGTAGAGGTAGAGTGAAGAACTGAGTGAGAAGAACTGGATTTGTACTTGATAGCTTGTTTTATTTAGGCAAGAGTTGAATGGTTACTACAGGGTAGATGCTCATAAGTGTTTTATTTAGGCATGAGTTGAATGGTTACTACAGGATAGATGCTCATAAGTGTGGTTGTGAGACAAATGTGAAGGATCTGTGTGGCCTCTCTTTTCTTCTTTCCCCTTCCTATGCCTGATTTAGTTTATTCCAGATACAAGAAACATACCTTGCTGTGTCTTTGATCAGGCCAAGGGAAAGGACATAGTCTGTCTCAGAACTTTCAGGTAGCTAGCAAGTAGCAATATAATGGGAATCAGTGATAGAAGTAAAACTAACACATCTTAGCTTTACTTCTCTTCTTCCATTGATTACAAGTCTACAAGACTTAGAAGTCATTGCATAGTTGGAAGAGGAGCTCCTGGAGTCATGCCTCAACATATTCTGTTCAGATCCACACATCCACCAGCATTTCAGCTATTTTGAGAAGCTGGCCCCTTAGCAGAAATCACTGAGTGCAAAGGAGACCGGGAGATCTGCTGATAATTAAAAGCCCTGTGAACAGTAGAAAGTGTTGTGAAAGGGTTCGGTCCCTCACCAGTATCAAATTGCGTAAATCGATGTTGGCCAAAAAAGTGAAATAACAGCTCACTTCCTAAAATGGAAATATCCCAATGTTTTTCCTGGCAAAGGACTGCTCTCGGGGGCAAAATCAGCAAGCGGACGGCGGTGACGGCAGCACATCCCTTGCCACTGCTGGCCTGCATGGTGCAAGGGAAGCAAGAAAGCAGTGTTTGCCATGGATCTCCTGACAAGTAGCACAGAACTTTGCACTTGAGAGAATACCATTATTTTAGCTGCAACTGGCAGCTAATAGCCTCCAGCCTAAGTAGTATGCCTTTCTTTTGAAGAAGCAAGTGGTTTCTGGCATACAACCTCACACAGCCGTTACTTTCCCTGCTTGTGATGCTCTGATGCCCTCTAGAACTTAATGAATGTTTGGGGGTTGTTTAGTACAGCAGGCAAAACTGGGAGTTTGGGAAGTCCTACAGTAGCAGTTTATGTGCACAGTCTTGCAGCATACTGTAGACTTCAGTTGTGAAGGACAGGCGTGTGTCCATCTCTGCAAATCCGTTGTTGGACTCTTCACCATGGTTTGGTCCAACAAGATCAGAGCAACTAACCTCTCTCTCTGCTGGAGATCTAAAGATTGCAGGTCTTTCTGGGTTTTAGTTGAAAGCACTCTCATCATTTTTAGCCCTGCCCTGAGGTTTGGGCAACCTGGCCTACACAAAGTCAGGCAGAATGTCTTGCCTGCAGCTATCTGTCAATCTTTCAGTCTCTGTCTTTGCCACAGCCTGTGAATGGCATTTGTCCTGATGTTTATTCCACTGTATCTAAGCATTTGTATCTACGTAAGGGCTAGAATTGTGATGTTCCCCATAGTTTTAAGTTCTTGATCACGCTCTTATTTTATGCTTTACTTTTCTCCGCATTCATGCTGCCATTTTTTCTTTGCCCAGCCCTTCATTTCTTCAGATGTTTCTCTGTCCCATGCATTTTCTTCCCAAAAGTTCCCTTATGGTGTCTGACCATGACCACCTGTTATCTTGGCTTAATTGGGACCCACTGGATTGTCAGGCACAGCTGTGCAACTGAACCAGAGCAAGGTTAGCCAGTTGGTGAGCTTCATCCTTTGCATGGTACAGTCCTCATTTACTCCTGCCCTGAAAATTAAAGTAAAATACAAGCAAATCTGAGCACATACAGATGTAATCCAGATTTGCTTGTCTGAGTGATCATGCAGAGTAGCCTTAGTTGCCATAAAATGCAGAAAACTGGGCGGCTTCTTAGATGCTGCTTCAACCTTTTTTTGTGGACATGGAAAATGCTTTTTTCGAGCTCTGGTTCTGAAGAGCCTTGGTATCTCTGTCTTCTGCTGTTTTGAGAAAGCCTTGGAAAGCTCATTTGGAAAGACTTATTTGGCTGCCATGAAAAAGGTATGCATGAAGATCAACTGGAGAATGAATGAAGATGAGCTATTTCTCATGGCCCAATTACTTTTGCATGTTTTCCTGTGCTCAGTTCCAGGTCAGGCTGCTGCTAGCAGAGCAGAGGCAGGGATGGCAGGACAAACAGGAAGCACGTGGCTGCTTTGACATTATTGTTCCACTTATTTTAAGTTCAAGGATCATAAACAGGGAAATTCGCTCCAGAAGAAAAATCAGTGGAGTCATCATTCGCATCTCACCCTGGTTATGGAGGTTAGCCTATGGATTAATACATGGTTGTGTCTGTAGGTGCAGGTAGATGCACACATGTTGCATAAAGCCAAGGAGGTTCTTCTGCAGTAAAAACGGATGAAGTCTTGCCCTGTTTCATGCTCTATTCATGAGCATTTGCAGACGTGTCTTCCAGCACAGAGCCCCAGCCAAGCTGGGCATGGAGTTGGCTGGCAGAAGAGTGAGGTTCAGTTGTTGAGAGGCCCAAATTTCATCTGCCCGTGCTCCATGGCAGACTTCATTCCAGCACTGCAGCAGAAAGTGGTTCAAATGGTGTCAGCAGCCAAAACAGAATTTCTGCTTTAAAAACAAGAGAGGCATCTGATGGGATTTGCTTTTGCTTTGCTTTCTTCTTCTTTTCTTTCAAGATTAGGAAAATTAAGAGTGAAAACCATGGTGGTCACTAAGATAATGAAGCTGCCCAGCTTTACTAAAGGATGCAGGTCTGGGATCTGCCTCAGTGATCCTTGGGATCACCTTATGAGTTTCTACTATTTGCTCAAATCTTCAGTTTTATGGAACTGGATGTTTCTTTCATTTACGGAGAAATTCCCACTTGATAGATACCTTGCCTGGGGCAAATTCCCCCTTTTTCTGTACCTCTCTAGCTTATTAGCTCTGAGCTGGGTTGTAGCCCATCAGCTAGCTTTGGATTTGGTTGTTTTCGTTTCTCCCTTCCTTGGCACAGGAGGGACAGAAGCCATGACTAAACTTTTCTGGCGTTAGTGCCAGCACAATCATGTGAGAGGTTCGGAGAGTGAAGAAAATGCTGAAGACTTACATCTGAAAAGGGAGATTTACAGCTTCTTACGCATCAAGCTGTAGATGAAGAGGAGTAAATTAACGCAAAATTCAGGCAAGTGCCATTGCTTCTCAGCAGGCACAGAAAACACCCAGCACTTTCTGGTACTGGACAGAAGAAGCAGTGTGGCTTTCAGAATAGAAAATAGGAGGGCTTGCACTGTGATGGCTTCAAAATTTGAGTTGAAGATTCAACCTGTAGTTACCATCATATATATGTGTTTTAAAAATAGAGCAGTTACATGCATTTTTCAGAATATTGTTGCTCACTAGAAGCACTGGCAGTGGTTGTCTTCAGTAGTCAACAAGGGCATGCTCCAGAGCTGTTGGTGAAGCTCGTTTGCTCATTGTGCTTCCCCTAGTGAGGCCTTGGGCATCACTTCACCCTTGTTATGCGGTTTCCTTTTCCTTCCTACTCTGAGAAAGTGGAGTCACAATTTGTGGGGCAGTACTGGTGCACCGAGAGCTGATAGAGAAACCCACATGCTAAACACTGGTGGAGCAAAGAGATCACTTTGCTCCCAGTCCATCACTCAACATCAGTACTTGCACCTCTGTGATGGACACGGTCCAGCTGCAAACCTACAGAATATGCATTGCATGTCTCTGCTTGCAGGTAACATGCTGGTGGCCTTTCTAGGACTGAGCTCTTCCAAATTGCTTTGGAGACATCCAGAGGAACGTGTGGTGCATGCTAGCAGCACTGGGCTCTGGCTTGCCGCCTGTTGTCTCTGCTCTCTGCCTTTTCTTCATGTTTTCCTACAAACAAATGAAAGGTTTGTGAAATTGCCATCCCTTGGGTTTCCACATTCAACCAGTTCGCACCTCTGCTTCATCCAGAGGCTTGGCTCCAGCTGAGCTCTGCTCAGGCCATAGCAAATGCTGGGGAAAGCTCCAAGCTTTGCAAAAAGAAAGGATAAACTGGGCTGGTGAGGGATCACACACGGCCTTATTGTGTCTTAATTCAAACAGGTCCCAAATGGTGATACAGAAAACCCATGTCACCCCACAAGCCCTGCCTTGCTGGATGACTTTCTCTCTACTACGTGGATGGAAGACGGCTTGCCTTGGTCCCCTTACCCTGCTGTGCACTGGATGCCCATATGCATGAGCACATAACAGCAAGCATCAGCTTGTAAGACTGGAAGTTTCTTGTAAAAATGTAAGAATGTAAATGGAAGAACAAGTTTCTTCTTGTACTTTTTTTTTTTTCTTCTCTTCTTAGACCATGTGGGTCCAAGCGGAGGTGCAGAGCCACGTGGAGGGTGGATAATTTGAGTTTTGGACACAGAACATCACGGGTGGTGCCTTGGCCAGCTGTGTGCTGAGGTCAGCCTGGAATTGGACATCTTGTGTTCTGCTCTTTGCCTTCTCCTTTTGTCCTCCCTGAGCACAAGAAGACCAATCCTCTGTCACCCATCCGGCACAAACAGGGAAGCAAATCCAAAAAGCACGTGAGTACCTTGTTATCACATTCATTTGATGAAACAAACTGATAACAGCCCTAAATGAAAGGCGTCTCCAGGGGGAGGCTTACAGCCAGCAAAAGCACACCTAACTTTTTCCCTCCTATTTGTGCCAGTGTTTGATTTGGCAGTCTGTGCTCATTTTCAGAACGTTAAAGAACTGAATTAAATAATTGAATCTTTTCCTTTGCTAACGTTTTTCCCTGGTCTGCTGACAGGCTCATATTGGGAGAGGGAGCAGCCACAGCTTGAAGCAACAGAAATACTCAGCATGCAGTTAGCTGGTCAGGCTGATCACATGTCCCCCCACCTCCCTGAGTCTAGGGGTCCTCCCAAAGCACCTCTATAGGCTGGGCTGTGTGACTTTGGGCAGCCTGCTGTGTGGGAGATGTCCCTGTCCATGGCAGCAGTTGGCACTGGTGAGCTTTGGAATTCCTTTTGCCCTAAAGCATTCTATAGCACTATGATTCTATAAAGAACAATCAGTTTAGGTTGTGGTTTAACCTTTTGCATCCCCTTATGCCCCCAGCACGCCATGTTCCTGCCCAAACATATACACTGTAGGAGCTGGAGGAAACCCGGCTGCTCCCAGGGGCACAGGTCTCTCCACTTCCCAACCACATCCATGTTATTGCCTTCTGTCCACATGCCAGCTCATCACTCAGAGAGCTTTCCTTTCTCCCTGGGAGACAGCAGGTTCAGCCTGAGGGCAGGTTTTTGCTAAGGAAGGATGGATGATCACAGATCTCCATGTGCCTTTGCAAAAAGGGCTCTTCAGCAAAATCACAGCCACCACGTTGTGTGCTTTATGTAGGCTTTCACTAGTTTTTTCCTTCCTTATTTAAGGTTTATCATACAAAATCTTATTTTCTCCTGTCCTGAGGTGTTAGGGGCTGGAGAATTCTGGTTTCCAGCTCTGAACTGGTTCCCTTCATGCAGGGAAGATTTTTCCAGTGCATCCCAGCAGCATGGGGCTACCAGCCAGCTCTGCGCCCTTCGGCCGCCAGGAAACTCAGACTCTCATGCCTGGCTTTTATTTGCTGTGAAATATCACCCGAGTCTTTCTGCTGAAAAATGAAAGGGAAAACAGCCAAATGACCAAGCTTTTGAGGACACGTTTTCAGCCCGGGGCTCAACCTTGTGCTGCTGGGAGGAAAGCAAAAGGCCTCACTGCAGCTCTCCCCATTGCAAAGCTCCCAGGGTCCCCAGGAAATCAGAGGGGAGAAAGCCAAAGCAAAGCCTGGGGCATCTCTCTTCTGTTCTCCACGTGGACAACATGTAGCATCCACATGTGCAGCCCGAGGAGCATGGGATGCATGCCCAGGGCTTTGTTAATATGTGACCAAGGGTTTGATGGCAGTGACAATTTTAGCAAAATTCATTAGCACAGAAATGAAACCCAGTCTATGCTCATGTCTGGCCATGTGTTTCCCTATCTACCAAGGAAAGCAGGACCTCAGGGGGTCTGAAGTGTGCTGTGTTGAAAAGGTACAGAAACATGACTTAGATTTCCCTTAATTAACATTGTACGTCACCCCACGTGTCTGCAGCAATGACTAAAGTCTGACTTGACAGTGCTTGGCTTTCTGTAAGCACAGGCAGGCGGTTTCTGTTGCAAGAAGGTGTTTGGCACTTCTGTGAAACATGAACAACCTCATGGTATGGGAAAGCTTCCTGCAGAGTCTGGTGTACATGAAGTAAGGGAAAAAGCTGATAACTGGATGGAGGAAATTAATAGAAGTTCTGCCTGGGATCAGTTGGTCGCTGTCCTTGAGTTTCTGGAAAATAACACATCTGTGGGCTGAGGGGGCTGTTATATTATGTATATAAATACAAATATGGATAAATTGTTTATTATATAAAGAGTTTAATATATATATATTATATATCCAGCAGCGGGGATGCAGCAAGCACGCAATGAGGAAAAGCAGAAGGAAGAATGACCCCGTGCCAGTGTTACAAGCAGCTTCCTGAAAGCAGCTTGCAGCCAGGAAAACCGCTGGATCAAATCCCTCAGAGGAGGAGAAAGTCCAGGTAACGTGGTTTATTTCGTGTCCTTCCAAAGAATAGATCATGTGAGCTGGAGGCTGCCCTGGAAAAGGTGCATCCCTAGCATGTCAGTAGGGTGCAGGCAGGGAAGGCCCCTCGTGGTTTATGGTGGAGCTGAATCCCTCCGGGGCTTCATCGGAGTCCCATAGGGGAGGTTTCCCATTGTTTGCACACCTGAAAGCTGGTCTGGCAGCTGGTAGCCCTGCAAGGATGCAGTGAGACTTTGTGCAGTTGGCCTCAGAAGGGGTCTTAAAATATTTTCCATTTGAAAACAGAGTTGTTCCTCCTCTTCCCTCCCCACCCATCCCACTCTGATTCAGCAGATCCTTGCTGGCCTGTGCTCAAAACCATCCCACTGTAGCTGGAATCCATTTTGATTGACCGTGGTGGGGTTTAAATGTTGCCTTGTTAGCCTCCAAGGTCTCTGTAAGCCAGTCAACCATTGCCAAAACACCACTGTATAGACAAAAGAAAAATAGAATACAAAGCTTCCAGCTTTGCACAGTCAGTTGCATTGGTGAAAGTTGTGTGAGGCATGCTAGATCCCATCTGAAAAAAAAACATTTTAGCTCTCTTCTACTCCTTGCCAGCAGCCAGGTCCTCTCTGGACAGGAGGATGAGGACCACTGGTGACCATCACCAGATGAATCATAGAATCATGGAATGGCCTGGGTTGAAAAGGACCTCAAAGACCATCTAGTTTCAAGCCCCCTTCTGTGTGCAAGGTAGCCAGCCACTAGACCAGGCTGTCCAGAGCTGCATCCAGCCTGGCCATGAATGCCTCCAGGGATGACCTTTGTCCTTCTGGACCCCAAAGCTCAGACTGTATCTGACTCACACAGCATTGGCTGTGGTTGGAGCTGGAGGGATTTTCCAGCTGTCATGATTCTTCTTGTTGGGCTGCAGGAGGTTTAAGAGGTGTTCAGCCTCAATTTCTCCCAAGCGTGCTTCTTGGCTCTCCTAAGGCAGAGACCTCACCAAACCCAAATCTCCCCCACTGCATCTGAATGGGTCTTGCTGCTATTTTCCACCCAGCTTGGGACCCTCCTCCTGAAACACCACACGAACACGGGCACAGGAGTTTCTCCTCCCTTCCAGGCTGAAAGCAAACCAGAGCATTGCCTTACTCTTTGTTGGAGTTTGTCCTTGATATTGAGGTGGGATAAGCTGTTCTTAAATTCATGTGAGAGCGGAAAGGTGGTGCTTCCCTGAGCCACACCACCTGGTGCTCCTTGTTACGAGGATTAGGTTTGTGTTTTTAATAGGAAATATGTGTTGGAACTGTAAAGTCTGCCTGCAGCCCATTTCCAGCAGCTTTTCAAATTGCTTTACATGTCCCTGGCGGCCGGGCTGCTACCATCCCTGCACTGATTGCAAACAGGCCGATAGCTTGGGCGCCCGTCTCTTTCCCCACTTGCTGGCTCTGCTCTCACATCATGCTTCTCATTCCTCAGCTCTTCCAAAGTGCATCGGCTCCACTCCCTGCCCTGTGTTTCCACACTCCCAGCCCTTCTCGTGGATGTCCTGCCCTGACCTTGCAGGGTTTGGCTGCTCCTGGCCCCAGCAGGATCCGGCAGTGCCGGTGATGAGGTGCCTGGGAAGCGGAGTTTCACCTCCGACATGGGTGATGAGCTGCAATGTTTGGGATTCCCTGCCGGACCCTTTGGCTGTGTTGAGGAATAGAAAGGGTCTCTGGTGAAGAAGAGCAGAGAACTAGCTCTGCATTCCTGTACCAAAGGGGCTGAGTGCTCCGTTTTGAAGAGCATCTCTGCAGCATGTCTCTGGTTCCCACACTAATGAGAAACAGCTTGAAGTGTGCCTAAGCCTTGCATGCTTTTCCCACGTTTACAGAAGATGAGCAGGGCTTGGTTCACCTCAGAACCTTCCAGCAAGCCATCAGGAGGGAGAGCCCCTTACCCACGCTGCCTCATTATAAAAGCAGTTGCAGAAACTGCAGTGCAGGTGGGCTGGCCACCTCCACACAAGGGTTTGATTTTCTTGGTCATCCCATGCTAGCATCACTGATACTACCTGCATGGTTTCCTGGATCTGGGCACGCACCCCACCTCTTCTACATGAGCTGTCTCCCACAAGGACAAATACAGTCCTGTCCCATAGATGTCTTGGCTGTTCCCAGGGGGTGGTTAACAGACCCACTGGTAAGAGACCTTACCAGTGACCTATTCCACATCCAGATGAGGAACACTGTGCTCTCTGTAGGGTTCCATAGGATCATTTGAGTTGGAATGGATCTTTAAAGGCCATCTGGTCCAACGCCCCTGCAATGAACAGGGGCATCTCAGCTCCATCAGGTGCTCGGAGCCCTGTCTAGCCTGGCCTTGAATGTCTTTAACACTGACCACATGGTGAATGTCTCCATTCCCATATTCCCATTCCCATATCCATATCCCAAATTCTGCGTGAGCCCAGCATGGATCACAATAGTGTTAAACCTGTTGGCTCTGTTGGCTAAGTTCTCCTTTATTTCCAATACGCCTGCAGTTTGCTGTGTGTAGTTTCCTCCAATTTCTCCTACAAGTAGTGTGCTATTTATTTTCATCCCTTGCTCTCTGAGTGTGTGCTGCAGTTGTATCCTCCTGCAAACCTCACAATTAGCAAAGAGATGCTTGAAATCCCAAAGGGGGACCCTTGGCTCTGTACCTACACCTACAAACATTAAACACACGCAGGGTTTGAAGCACGTCGTATGATTCAGCAGGGCTTGTCTGAACTGAAGCAACAGTGATTTTTCCCTCAGTTTCTCGGCAAGTTTTCTGGCAGGCTGTTTTGCTACCCTACCTCGTGGTTTCTCCCCCCATCCCCAATCTGTCCTTTCCCTAAGTCACTGTAGCCTCATCCAGAGTTGTTCTCAAGCTTCTCTCTTCCTTCTTTTCCCCCCTTTCCAGCCCTCCTATCCCCCGTGCTGCCTTTCCCTTCTCTTCCCTCCCACTCCAGGCTGGCTGTGCCCCAGCGATGAGCTAAGGCTGCTCGCTGCCGGGTCCCGGATCTGCGGGGGAGGCAGCGCGACGCCGGCTGGGGCTCAGCCTGGGGATGCTGGGGCTGTTGGGGCAGCCACGTGGGGCTGGAACCAGTGGTGGGTGGGTGGGATGGTGCTGGGGGGAGCCTGGGGGACTCCAGACGGCTCTAGTGTGTGGAGTCTGCTTTGTGGGCATGCTCATCTGTAGGCTGTCTGTTGGCTTTGTGAGCAAATGTCCCTTTGCAAACAAATGGCCCTAAGCAAGCACCTTCTCTTCAACAACAAGAAAATAAATAGAAGATCAAGCTCAGCAAGCAAATAATAGTAATAATGAAGAACTATACAGCTCACAGGGGATGGGATACTGAGAAAGCTGTGGTTGTTCAGACTGGGGAAGAGAAGGCACCAAGGAGACCTGAGAGCAGCCTTTCAGTATCTAAAGGGGGGCTACAAGGAGGAAGGGGACAGATGCTTTAGCAGGGTCTCTTGTGACAGGACAAGGGGAAATGGATTCAAACTGAAAGAGTGGAAATTTGTGTTGGATATAAGGAATTTTTTTTATTATAAGAGTCTTGAAGCACCTGGCACAGTGCTTCACCACCCAGAGAGGTGGTGGATGCCCTATCCCTGCAGACATTCAAGGTCAGGTTGTTTGGGGGTCTAAGCACCCTGATCCAGCTGCAGATGTCTCTGTTCATTGCAGAGGAGCTGGACTGGATGACCTTTAGGCTCCATTTAACTCAATTCTATGCTTCCACGTACGCAACAATTGGACAAACTTTGGGATCCAGGCTTACTGCTCTCTTGGCTACCATCAGTCACATCCATGCTGTATCCATCATCCCTTGAGGCCAGCTGCTCAGCAGGCTTGACAACCTCTCTTTTACATTTAAATCCTAAATTTCTCTTTTCTCTGTTGACAGCTCCCCAGATTTGTTGTCATTCCTGGGGGATGTGATCAATGACAAGTCTTGGATTGCTGTGTCTTCCTTGGCATAGGTATCTAAAGGCATTTACGAGTGGCTTTCCAGCACTTGAAAGTATCAGTGGGGCTTTGATTTTCATACTGCCTTCCTATAACATCCCAGTGACAGACAATTTACTGCTTGCTGCAACCATTTCGTCTTGCTAGCACCTCTCTCTTGCAGGAAATGCCAAACTCCAGATCTCTCACAAGGATAGGAAACGTTTCTTCTCAGAAGGAGCAGTGCTACAGTGGCACAGCTGCCCAGGAAGTGTGCTGGGGTCGCCATCCCTGGAGGTGTTCCATAACACTGGGGATGTGGCACTGAGGGACGTGGGCATGGAGGGGAGGGCTGGGGTTGGACTGGGTGATCTTAGAGGACTTTTCCAATCTGAATAATTCTACAATACCTCCAAAAAAGCAACCCCCCTGTGCTGTCCCAAAGTGCTGGGAAAGCTTGGAAGTCTTGGTGCAAATGACTGATGGAGTGCTGTTTGCATTTCGTGCCCTACAGACTGCACTGCTGCAGTTTACCTTGATGCTGTTTGGTACGGTGGTCTTATCTTCCCAGCTCTGTGGGCTGCTAGTGACATTCCCAGGGCTTTCCAGCTGGGAAATAGCGGCCATCTCCGCAGAAAGCCTGATGTCACAAGATTTTTCAGCCTGATTTCCAGAGCAGTGGTCTGGATGCGCTTCAAACTCCTGACTACTTTTTCCAACCAGCCTTGTTGCTTGGGATGTTGGTTTTTTTTTCTATTTTTCTTTTTTTTTTTTTTCTTTTTTTCTGGGCTCTCCCTTTCCCAGCGCTCATACACTCACAGAGCAATTGGTGTCCCTCCATAGGCACGTCTTTTAAAAAATGCAGAGATTTCCTGAGCAGGGTGCAGTGGAAATTCCTGGGATTGCTGGTGCAGACGGACACGTAGTTAGCTGAGTCTGAGAGGGAGCAGCTCAGGAGATGGGTTTCTTGCAGAAACAAATCCTTTCTGCTCATCTTTTCCTGTCCACGTACATGGGAGCAACGCTCTTCCCACCTACACCCCTCTCTGAATGTAGAGTGGTCCTTGGGGTCCACATTGCCCTGACCTCTCCTCGTGGTTTGGGCTTTGCACAGGGATCAGAGGAGCTTAAAACTCATGGCACCCTGCAGTGTTAGCAGCATGACCTTATTTGCCAAGTCTGGCGATGGGACAGGGAGCAGAGATTTCCAACATCAGCCCAACTTGTGGGAGTTAGTGCCACTGCCAGGGGCTGGCTGTCAAAAGCATTTGCAAGAGGGGATGTTCTCAGCCCTGTTTTTACGTGACCACTAGCAGCAGTCCTGCGGTGGAACACAGCTGTAGGACAATGGATGGGGCTGACCAGAACACGGTGCGCTCTTTCGCAATGAGCTTGGCTCTGGGCTACATGAAAAAATGCCTTCTTTTTTTTTTTTCTTTTTGCTTTCTGCTTTTTGCAGAAGGGAGAGGGGTGGAAACCAGGTGCTGTTTTCAATATGCTGCTTCCCAACAGTGCCGAGCAAGGCAGGTCTCAAACTGGGAGCGACAGGTGGAGGAGTCAAACAGCACAGGAGTGCCCAGCCTGGAAAGGAGAAGGCTCTGGTTGACAAAATTATAAGTGATGGGACAGTGATTAAAAGAGGCAGTGTTGGGCAGATTGGAAGCAAGGTACCAAGAGTGGGAGGTAGAGCCATGTCGGGCTCATCATCCTAGGGTAACCTCAGTGCCTATCCCCAAGCTGTGGCCAGCACCATGCCTGGCATCCTTGCTCATCTATGTTATACCACTATGGAGGAAACTGAAACTCCTCAGAGATATGGTGAGGGATTTTTCATGGTAAAACCTTTGGGTTATTTGCTGCTTTTAGGCCCTTATGGACTTGTACATCCTGTTCTACATCTGAAGTCGGGTATAGGTGCGAAGGAGAGGTGCTCCTAGGGGAGCATCTTTGAAGCTGCCCCTTTGCCTTTCCCCCATGTCTTGTTTGCCCCTTCCACCCTGGGAGAGAAATAACCTGAGAAAGAGTTGCTGTAAAAATACCTCTTTCAGAACATCAATCATCATTTACTTAGAAATTGCCCCTGCTATAAAACCTGCCAGATTTCCAAGGAGAAATTTGCAAGTAATAAGCAAGCATTTTTAATGTTCCTTTCCAAATGGCCATTGTTTTAACTTCTGCTTGCTGCACTGTAAGCAATTAAACCCTCAATAAGTATGGGGATGCTCCAAGGGCTGGGAGAAGCTGTGAGCTTGCGGGGCTGCAGTGGGATGCTGAAGAGTGGCAGCAGTCCACTTATTTGAAAATCAGGCTGTTCCATGCCCTCTGCAAAGTTCCAGTCAATTGAACCCAGTGCTAATTGTTTTTCATTAATCTCCAACGCAATCTCCCCATCTGCAGAATTAATCACCTCTGGAAAACTAGACAAATATTTTAGAAATAACAAACTGCTGCCTTCCTCCCCAGGAACTTCTTTGTGGCCTTTCAGATTGGTATGTCCACTCCAGTTCACTGGCTGTGCTCAAACTGGAAGATATCATGCATAGGAGGTATGATATACATTGATTACTTGCATGCTTAAGCTATTCCTATCCTGTTTGAGGAGTAATAATGTATTTGGCTTTTACTTTCCTACAGTGGAGATGCTCATGTCTTGGACCATGCTCTGAACAATCTGATCTAGCTGTAGGTGTCCCTGTTCACTGTTGGGGAGATGAACTAGGTGGCCTTTAAGGGTCCCTTCCACCTCTGTGATTCCACATCCACCCACAGCACAGAGCTGCTTCCAGAGCCTGCTTCTCCTACCTGCCCTTCCTCAGCCCTGCTCTCCAGGAGACTAGAGTGACAGACATGCCTGTGTTCAAATCTTCAGACACTAATCTTCCCGGGTTGCATCTTTGTCATACGGGATTTTAATGGAGTAACAGAGTGAGGTCATCACAGCCGGCTGCACTTTTATTTCAGCGTGGTCGCTATAGCAGCCAACGTCAAAACAAAACATATAGTTCACCAAAGCAAAGTTTCCTGGCTGATGGTGTTCATTTTTCTTTATGAGCTGACTTTGGAAGACAGCGAAGCAGCAGCCAATGGAAACTCAAATGTCTTTCTCTCTCCCCTGTCTGCTCCTCCGTCTCTGCAGCGATCGAGATAAAGGTTAGACATCTGTTTCGGATCTGCTCTGTTTAAGTGAAGGAAAGACTCTCATAAATCACCCTGCAGCTGGAGCACAGTCCCAATTCATTGCCATTTACCCCACGGCACACAGCTCAGCCCTGAGCTCTGCTGCTGGGAGGGCTGAGCCTCCTGCCATTTTGTGAGCACTCCCCACCTTGCTCTGCAGCTGGCTGTCGCCTACACAAGTGAGGGATGATCATAGAGTCATGGAATCTCCAAAGTTGGAAAAGACCTCCAAGATCATCCAGTCCCACCATCCACCTACCACCATTATTTCCCTACTAAGCCCTGTCCCTTAGTGTAATATCTACATGTTTCTCAAACACCTCCAGGGTCGATGTCTCACCACCTCCCTGCAACAGAGGGACAAAAGGAGAAGGATGGACAAACTCCTACCCAACGCCTAGGATGGAAGATAGGACAAACAAGGGCAGCTCGTGCGAGAACACCCGTATTAGGATTGAGGGTGTAAATAAAGTAAAATAGCAAACGCAGAGCTTAGAGGAGTGTTTTGTTTCTTCCTGGAAGCACAAGCAGAGGAGGGGAAGGCCAGCGGCGTTCCGGCAGGGCAGCATCTAGCAGCGCGCCTGCGCTGAGCACGTCGGGATGCAAAGCTGTGCTGAGCTATTTTTATTCCTGCTCCAGTCCCGCAGCCACGCTGGCAGATGTGCTCCCAGCTGCAGATGACTTCCATGTGTAACCCCACACTGGCCAGGGGCCCAGGGCGTAGCGTGCTTCCTTAAAAGGCCCGGGAGAGCAAAGTGATGCCCAATCCCAGGGGTGAGTGGCCATGGGGGCCCCAAGCCGCCCACTGCCCTTGGGAAAGCCCAGGCTGCATGACATGGGGTCAGTGGGAGCAGTGATAGGGAAAGAGGGTTGGGAAGGATGATTCACAGGTCGTTGTAACCCACCTAACCCTCCGTGCTCACAGCTAAAAGGAGAGGCTGTGGAGGAGGCAGCGTGTTGGAGCATGGGATAGGTCCAGTTTGCAAGGCTTATAGCCCCTGAAGGAGAAAAAGGGTGCTTTCAGCATGCCCCTGTGCATGCTGGAATGCAGGGCAGACTGCTCTGCCCTCCAGGCAGCTTCAGCTGAGTGCAGACGTTATGAGAAACAACGATATTAATAAGTGCAATAAAAAGTCAATTCTCTATTCCCTTGTTCTCAAATGGAGCCCTTGCAATGTGCTCATGGAGCGTGCCAAATAAAAAGCACAGCTTCCCAAGCATGGCTGCCAGAGCTCTGCTCATGCCCAGCTGAAGCAGCATCCCCAGCAACAGCGTGGTACTGATGGGAAATGTTATGAGCTAGGCTGCTCTGTGAGCTAAGAATGACATAGGAGCACCTACAAATGGGAATCCTCGTGGGGACAAATCCTGAGGCAGACCTCAGTCCTATGTTCTCTTTGCCATGAATCCTGCACTCCCCAAAACGTCAAGGTGAGCCTCTTGGACTCACAGGTAGCATTGAGCAGGGAACTGAAGGTGTCTTTCCAGCTCTATTTAGCCTTGTAAGTGCCGCCTTCTCATCTCCTCTGCTTGGCCATGGGAAGCATTGCCAAGTTCCCTTGGAACTGAGGCTCACCAAGATGTAGGACCCCAGCCTGGCTCTGTGAGGTACTGTGTGGAGGCAGGAGTTGGACTCAGTGATCCTTATGGATCTCTTCCAACTTGTGAAGCATCTCATTTTATGAGAAGCTTGTAGTACTGATTGCTCCACTGGGCTGTGGTAGCAAAGGGTGACCTGGCAGAGGAAAGAGCAAATTCTGAGCTGGTAATTGCATCACGATGTCCTTTTTTCTGCATTATCCATACAGGGTGTGTCACGCTCATTGCAGGCTCAGTAATTTTAAGTGAAAGCATAGGGCATGAAGCAGCAAGTGCAATGCAAGCTGCAGGGAGCAAGCGGGGAAAGGGCAGGGAAATGGGGCCAAAGCTGACCAGAGAGTACAGGCATGGCACTGTGAGTCAGCAGGAGCTGAAGCCAAGGCAGTCAGCTGGCTCTCTTTCCTCTCTCCATGAAGGATTTTCATGGAATCATAGATTCATAGAATGGTTTGGGTTGGAAGAAACCTTAAAGATCATCTTGTCCCAGTTCCGTATGGTTATTTTCTGGATTAACTTCAAATGACCTAGCTGGCTTTGGAGGATCCACCTTTTCACAGGTGGTTGTTTTGCCTGACTGGTATTCCTGGCTATTCATCTACTTCATGCTTTTGGGGGGGCTTTTTGGATGAATTTTAGCTGCCTTGAATGAGCTCAAAGACAGACAGGAATAAAGGATGGAGTTAAAATTGTCATGGGCACCAACAGCAAAGCACACACTGGAAAATGCCCGTGGTGTCATTAAGTTGTGTAGGATGGAAGGAACCTCCGTGCCTCTCTGGTCCAACACTTTTCCAACCAGGGCCAGCTGAGACTGTGTTGCTCAGAGCAATGTCCTCCAGGGGATTTCATGACTGTCATCCCAATTTCCACCTTTCCCAAGCTTGGTCACCGTCAGCATCTCGGTGATGTCCCCTTGGATGTCCGTACTACAACCATCCCCCCTCTTATGGCCATTGGGATTGCCTTCCAAATAAATAGTTTCCAAACCAAAATCGCTCCCCTGATGCCCATCACAACGTTTACAAACAGAGGGACAAAAGCATGAGTTTCTCAAAACTTCCATTAGACTTTATTTAAAAGTTCTTTGTATAGACTTCCTGACACAGAATCCACAATAAAAATAAAATTCCCCCTCCCACCCACCCACCTCACCCCAAATTGCTTTGCTTTGTGTTTTATAAAACATACAACATGAGAAGAATGCCGAAGACATTCTACACCACAATTTAACAATTCATTAACTGAGGCCTTGGTCCCAGCAGTGCATTTGCATTTGGAAACCTTGCTTCCTTTTCCTTGCTCCTTTGGTTGGCCACATATGTTACAAATACATCCAAGAGATCTAGTTTGAAAATCTAATCCAGCAAAAGGAGAAAAAAAAAAAAAACAAAACAAAAAGGAAGAATGGAAAACTGAACCGCTTGTTCATCAGCTACTCCCTTACACAAAGGCTTTCCGTGTGCAGTTATGCTCAGATATGAAAATGATAAAAGCAAGCATGTAACAGTTGCAGTGAAATTATTATGATGATTTTTATTTTTTTATTTTATTTTTATTTTTTTTTTTGCTAATTTTTACGCTGCCTTCGATAGGCAGGCTGCCGGAATTGGAAAGAAAGGGTAATTTAGAGACGTGTTCAGACACAGTAACAATCTGCAATCAGGTAAATATTTTGTAATGTTAAGCTATACAATATATCCCGGACACACGTAGCACTCAGTCCACAAACAGTTTAGCACCATATTGATAGGTCATGCAGCAAAAACCTTTCTTCGAGGTTTGCTTAGGAAGTTAAAAGCATGAAATAGTACAGTGCAAGGTAGTCTATACCCTTAGCTTCTATTGGGGTAAGGTGGCAAAGGTGGATGCTCCTGGCTGTCTCAGAGGTATGTGTTGGCAGGTTGTTGGCTCTATGTTCCTATCGTCGTCACCATGCCAGGGCTGATGTTACCTGAGGAAGTTTGGTGGAGAAGGGGAAGATACGTGAGGTTACAGCATGGGATGCTGAGGGAGGGCAAGTGGCTCACGTGCTGACCTTGCTACAAAGCCCATACCACCCTCACCCCTTTGCTGGCCCAACACGTTTTGCCTGCTTCTGAGTGCTTACCTGGGCTGCAGGCTTTTTCACATTCTTTCTGCGTGTTGAATCTGTTCTCGTTGCCTCCACAGCCGCCGTACCAGAACCTTGCACAGCTCTTGGTCTTCAGGTCGTAGTGCCACTTCAGCACAAAGTCCCTGCAGGTCCCCTCCTCCTTCTGCAGCAAGCAGATGTCCATGACTGCAGAGAAAAGCAGGAGAAGGGAGAGTCAGCTAGAGGTCTGGGGTCCTGGGCTAAAGACAGGTTCTCTCAAGACACGAGCATGGTAAAGAAATGCCAGTGAACAGGGCTGGCATGCAAGACCAGAAGGGGTGACACCGGCCCAGGCGTTGCCTGGTCTCCTGTGGCTGAACCCAGTCTCTGTGTTTGCAAAGAGAAGATCTTTGGGTGTCTTTGCCCAGCACTGGGCCCAGGAGGATGCCAACGCTGCTCTTCAAGCCATCAGCTGTGTTGCTGGTGTGGCACGATGCTGGAGTAAAGGCAGAGAGAAGGACATGTGCCACATGGCAACAAATGTCTGCAGATCCCTTCCGTTTCTAGGAAATGAGTTGGGAGGTATCAGAACTGGGTCTCAAGGGGAAAACCATTTTTCCATCACTTTCCCAAAAACATATACAGAGTACATACCAGCAATGAGTGGCCAGGAGTCCATCTCCTGAAGTTGTCTTGTGATAACCTCATACCCTTTGTAAGATGCTACAGATGGGGTGCTAGAAATCAAGGTACTGTGCCCTACCAGAAACAGTTCCCACATATCCACGAGGAGAATAGAGAAGAATATAGAAATAAAGGGTGAATTAATGGAAAGGCATAGATGCAAACAAGTTTTTTGGGAGTTTGATGATAGAAAA